TGACCCACACAAATCTCTCTTCTGCAATATCTGTTGGAGACCAGAACTTTATCCTTTCAAAGTAGGATGACACCCATTGTAAGTTCCCATCAACTAGCTCCTTTATACACTTCGGGTTCTCCTCTTTTATCAGCACAAGATTACCACCCATGAGGGTTATTTTGATCGAAGGAAATCCTTCATTGAAGAATATCTCTGGAAGATTTGAGATGATGGAAGGAGATAGAGCCACTCCTACAGCACACTTCATTAAATTTTCTTCAATCTCCTCTGTCCCTTTTATCTCGATCACCTTTTTGTATTTGAATCCTCCAGGAACCGTAGCCTTAGTCATTGCTTTACTTGAGTTCCTCATGTTATTTCTTGCCTCTGATGGTGTGGGACCCTTCAGGTCTATATTGCTGGTGTTTGCCTTCTCTTTTTGCTGTAAAAGGCTTTGTGCATATGTCTTCTTTGGACCTATCCTGTTTTCTTCATCAACCTTAGTGCTTTCTTCGTAACTGGTCCTCTTTTTGCTACTCTTCCATCTTACTTCCTCTGCTGATTTTGCTTGCCATCTGCGTTTCTCTTCTCCTTTTTCCACAGCTGGGTTGAAGATCACCTTTTTGTTTCCAATCCATATGCTTTCCAGTTGCTTCCTCATCTCTTGACCATGTCTGACATCCAAAAATCTGGCGAAACCATATCTGTTTCCTCTTCTATCCCTCTTATTCGGAATGAATATATCCCAGAGCCTACCTGCTTTCACTGTCTTCCTCATGAAGTAGAACAGCTCCTTCGCTCTCCACTCCTCAAGAAAATTGATGAAATGGTAGGACACACATTGTTTCAGTAAACCTTTGTTAAAAGCTGGCAGTCTGTTAGCGAAGTCCTTGAAGCCGGTCACCGATTTGCCATTGCCGTGGCATCTCCTGTCTCCCCGTTCAAACTCCATCTTACCTGCAAAATATTGTCAACTTTGATTTAATTAAAAGTTGATTTTAATTTTATTAATTATCTAATTAAAATTATACAAGTGATATTAGTGCTGAAAATGAAATTAGTTTTTATGATTCTCTATACAAATTATTAAAAAAAATGATGCAATTAATGCATCCTTAACACATATTCTTAAGGTATAAATTAGATAAACTCATAAAAATAAAGAGAAGAAAGGGAACTTAATAGCAAGAAAATTTTTTGAAAATGATATAGTTATAATACCATGTAGTATTGTAAGTATACAATATAATATGTTGTTATATAATTAGTTTTTTTATTCAGGAATTCACTTATAACATTGTATATATCTACTAATTTAATATTCTATCATACTTATTTAATATCATATTATGATTGTAACTTTATAATTTTAGATGATTTATAACTATAATATTGCAAAAAATTTTAAGAGAAATTTGTATTTAAAATAGTACATATATATCGCACAAAAAGCAAAGATAAGGGAAGCCCACTACCTTCCTTTCAACCCCTGAGTTTCCATTTTGTCTTTCCCACCGTTGATCATCATCATCCCTTTAATTATTTCAACTGAAAAGTAAAATAAAAAAGAAAGAGATGAGGATGAGGTGAATAAGTATACCTGAAAAGAAGGAAATAAATTGAAGATGTGAGATTGAGAATACCATTCCATCAATATAAGAATACAAAATACTGTCCGATTGTTCTTGTTTTTTACTAGAAATGAGCTCAAAATTTTGGAGAGAAAACAATAGGAGTTAAAAAGGAGAAGAAAGCAAAGTACAAAATCCGAACTTTGAAAAGCAGAATTGCAAAAACCAATATATTGATAGGAGAAACAAATTCAGAATTTTCCGATGGTTGGATAGTCGGAGTCAAAGCATCCCACTGAACATCCGTGCAAGCTCAAATGCTTAAACCACTTATAGTGACCCACTGAACATCCATAGCTTCCTAGACAAATAACTACGTTAAAGAATCTTGACGGAGAGGAAAATTGCAAGACAATATAGAGACCATGGAACGTGGAAGGGTGGAAAAAACCACCCATGAACGTAGAACGTGAAAGGGGTGAAGAACTGACCATTCATGTGGAAGCTGGAAGGGTGAAAAAGCCCATCATCCATCCAAATCAATGGCGGAAAATTAAGCGGGGAAGAATGGAGATACGTTTATTAGTGCTTTAAAAGATCTAAGAGAGAGAAGTTGGCATGAGTTTGGATTCCATTTAACATTGGGTCTTAAATTTGTTTTATTGGATATTTTTTATGGGAAAAATTATACATAATTTAGTTGTAGTGCAAGGTAATTGCACTTAAAAGCCTGTGATAGTGAAATATGTACTTAAAGACTTGTGGTTTGAACCATAAGCACTAAGCCACTATTACCATCTAAATAATGTTAAAGTTATGTGTAATATCCTAAGTGCCCCTAAGCTAAAAAAAAAAAAAAAAAACTCAACTGTTGCAGACTTTGTTTCATGGTAATCTTAAAAAATTAACTCAAATGAAAATGAAAAGCAAACAAAATAACTGTCTGCAACTAACCAAACAAAATCTTTCAATTTATTGTGGTTTATATTCCAAAGTGAAGTTCTATTTCTAATTTCTTCGATTGACCTTTTTATATTCAATCAAGAATTTTGTTGCTTGTTTAGGATTTAAAAATTAGGGCTTTTATTTGAAATGTGATAAGTTCTACATTTGTAGTTTTGCAAGTATAAATAATATATTTATGATTTTATGAATATTTAATTTCAATCAGTTTTAACCATACATGCAAATTATGAATATTTTATGGAAAATGATGTGTGCACACC